AAAAAAAAAAAAAAAAAAAAAAAAAAAAAAAAAAATGAAATGAGAAATAAGGAGGGACACGCATTGTGAACGAGGAGGGATAGCTGCGTGACGAGTTGTGAACTCGCGCGTCCGAGGCGCGATTATGAATAATCATGGCCGCCGTGGTTTAATAAAGTGACACTGAGCGAGAAAATATATGATGCGAGCAACGTAAGCAAAGAGTCCTTAGAGACTTTTAGCTTAAAACTGGCTGTAAACGCCGATGGCCCCCGTCACAATGCCTCTGATTTCGTCAATGGTGAAGTGTGATCTCGTGAATCGCGAACTGGGACATTGATGATGGAAAAGAGTGGGAGGAAAAGGCGTTTGTCGGTAAATAAAATAAGTAAACTCGGGATATCGTCCAGCAATCCAAAATACGACATTAATTTCAATGTGGCGTAACGTTACATTATACGATGGCTACGAAAAATCGGCGTCATGGACAATCATTGGCTTATTTAAACGATTGACCGCCGTCTCGTTTTGTTCGACAAGGGAAATGAATGAATAGCCCAAGTCGTATGATAAATGTACAAAAGCTACCGAGAGTATGGAGGAAAAGTTTTGGTTTAAAAAAAAATATCTTGTTGTGTTTTAGGGAATGGCGAATCTTGAAAACGTTCGCAATCGCTCTCTCTCTCTCTCTCTCTCTCTGTCTCACGCACGCGCACACACACACACACACACACACACAGACACACAGACACACACACAGAGACACACTGTGTCTATCTATCTATCTATCTGTCTAACTCTCTTACTCTCTACCTCTACGAGTCTGCCAGCCTCTCTGTTTATCCCTATCTATCTCTATATCTATCTCTATTAATATTTGTTTCTCCTAATATCAGTCTATCCTTCAATTTTGTTTCATTCTTCCTTTAAACATTTTTTGTCCTAAGATTACTCGAGTGCGAAAGTCGCGGTTTTTGCGCTAAAGTTATACGAAGAAGTTTCGACGAGGAATGGCGAAGGAGAAAAACCTCGGGATTCCTCGCGCGCGCAACATGAAAAACCTTAAGCCAGCCACAGCGTTCTAAATTCTAGCGTCTTTTTACAAAATCACGCACGATTTTTACTTTGTATTACATTGAATATTGCCAGGGGTGTGTCGTGATGCATTTTCTTTTTTGCGCAATGAGAGCACACAGAGTCGCGAGGGGAGATTTATATCGCAAGCCGTTGAACTTTCGCAATGAGCCGAGGTTCAAAAATGCGCTCTCGAATAAAGTTTTCAATGGAAATTGAGCACGAGCGGCGAGGACTGGCAAAAGAAGGAAATAAAATAAAGAAAAAGAACAAGAACTTAATGACCCGGAGCATCGACGTTTTTCCTCACCGAGTAGATGCGCGACTGCCAGCGGCGAAGTCCAAAACTTTTCTATCTGCTGTCGAGGGGCATAATTGTCGCGTGAGCTCCATCATAGAAAGAACACGCGGAGGTATTGCCCGAGAGGCTTTCACCGAGTCGTGACTGTGCCTCGGCCTCGCGAAAAATGAGGGAGAATTTAGGAGAGCTGCCGCATTGCACAAATCCTCCGCCTCTCCCTCTCACTCACCAGTCCCGCCTCATCCCGCCGGCCTAACGAAACACTTTGTAATGACATTTTCGTGAGCGGTCGACCTTGCGAAACACCGATGTGGCAATGTCGTCGTCTCCATCGGCGGCCTGACGTAAGCCTGGTGCCACCGGAAAGGAAGATGCAGCGATCTCTCTCCCCTGCTTTTGCATCACCTCTGGCCTTAATAATTTGCGCCCCGCGCAAACTCTACGCCGAATACCTTTCGCTTGGCTTTTAAGGACTTTACGTGCTTCTAGCAGCGGAGGAACTTTCTCGCAGGCTCGCATACAATAAGAGAAGTTATTACGAAAGCACCTGGCGCTCCTGGAATGTCCTTTGGATTGGGTTTTGGATTTTGGTTTTGGATTGGTCGGCCAAAAGGCTTAGGTTAGCGTCCTGCTCGCGCTATAAACAACTGTTAACAGACTTTTCCGAACTTTCGACTCAAAGCCCAATCGGATGTATTACGAGAGGCAGACGCCCCCGTAACTACAACTGTCCCTCCAGTTATCCGCTGTGCTATCTTCCTTCTCTTAATATTTTTTGTTGCACAACAGTGGTAAAGCGCGAAATGCGATCACGAAGAATGAGTGTAAAAATAAATGGCGAATGAGAGAGACGATGGCGGAAGAAAGCAGGAACATTGACCCACATGCACGTCTCGCAACAACGAGGCTCTCTCGCAAGAAACTCACTGTTTCTCTATCTGTCTGTCTCTCTCGCTACCCCCCCCCATCTCTCTCTCTCTCTCTCTCTGTATATATATATATATATATATATATCACTTCTCTCTTCTCACTTCTCACTTCTCTCTTCTCTCTTCTCACTTCTCACTTCTCTCTTCTCTCTTCTCACTTCTCACTTCTCTCTTCTCTCTTCTCTCTTCTCTCTTCTTTCTTCTCTCTTCTCCCTTCTCTCTCTCTCTCTCTCTCTCTCTCTCTCTCTCTCTCTATCTCTCTATCTCTCTCCGTTTGCCTCTTCTTCTCACTGTGTCGTGCATCGTACCTGTCGCCGAATCCGCAAAGCTTAAAATCAACAAATCATCGCGAGATGCAACATTCAATCGTCGTCGCTTCTTTATTATTATTTTTTCATAATCGCGCGTTCTCGTGATACTCGAGCCGATTTCTTTTGGTTTTCCAGCATCCGCTTGAGAGACCGACAGATTTATCATCGCGCATGTTATTACTGAATCGTATTTTCGTTAATACTTTTTTCTTTTTTATAGTTGAAAAGATGTTGTATTATTAGTAACTATCGATCTCAACACTCAAACGACTATGATCTGAAAATATATATTATTTATTTCACAACATTCCGGATCTGTCATCTGGAATATTACTACAGTATTAAACATGCCTAATAAATTTATGTTTAGTGTATGTTCTGTAACGCAATCATCTTCTTTATTTTTCAAACAGCATACCTTTACCGTTTAATGGCTAAAATTCGTTAACCTATACTACATAAGTAAGTCCACATAAAAAGTTATGTATTATAATTAAAGTTTAAATAATAATTTCAATTTCACTTTACGGCGTTGGATTAATTTTTCATCGGTTACTGCGAAAAGCAACAGTTTCGTCAGATATAATTGTAAATTTCAAAATAACGAGAACGATCTTAAAACGTCAAGGAGCCGACAAATTACGAGAATGTCTACAAATGTCCGTGCTTTTATGAAGATGTACACGACCTATAATTATACGCTATCCAGTGTTGTTTATGTTTTTGTTTTTTTGCAAAAGAATATGTACAACAAATAAAACACTTGTCTGCACACACTCATGTAAAATAACCGCGTTATTCCACGTAGCTGTTGTAAGTCGACGAGTGATGTATGTAATAATGCGAATGGCAGTGATAGTTATCGAGTCCAAGTGCGAGTTGTATAAAGTTTATTAGGAGCGCTTCTCTTCCGCCGAATATGAGATGGAGATGTAGACGGAGATGGAAATACAGATATATAGATAGATAGAGATAGATAGAGATAGATAGTGAGAAGATTGAGAGAAGATAGTGAGAAAATAGACAGAAGAGAGAGAGAGAGAGAGAGAGAGAGAGAGAGAGAGATGCGTAGTTTCGGCTACGATTATTTCGGTGCAATAAATAGTTAAACGAAAGGAAGAGAAATTCGTAAATCGGAGACTCTTTAGTTCCTACAGACACGAGCGACGAAAATGTGAAGAATGCAGACACGCGAGGGGTGAAAATTATACCTTTGAAGAAAGAAAGGAAAAAAGAAAGGGGAAAAAAATATATTTCGCACTCGAATATGAAAGATAGCTGAAAGAAGGGGAGAAACTGTGTGAAAGAGAGGGAAAGAAGTCAGAGGAAGAGTTAGATGAAATACAGCGAGAGTCGTAGAATTTTAATAGCGTTACTAGTTCCGACGCGAATCTTAGTGAAATCGATTCACGAGGGTCTCGGTTTCTAGATGCGTGTACATATATGTGACGAGCGTCGGGACGCCCTATCTTAGTACGTAAGCTGTAAGTGGATCTGTGTAAAATATAATATTGTGATAAGAATGTAAAAAATGATGAAACAAAAAAAACAATGAAAACAATTGCGAGAAATCGTCTATTTAGAAGAGAGTATGGACGACCGCATTCCCAATTATCGATTTTATCAAGAAAAACCCTTGTACGAAATATAGATTACGGAAGAACTAAAATACCTTAATTATGATTAATATTGTATAAAATATGAATAATATAACTAATTAATTCAATTTATTACGTGGAAGCTGTTTTTATATTGCGACCGACCCAACAATTCCGATCGCCATTCCCGAACTTCCTGTTCCGCTTCGTCTCCTTCCCCAAACAACAATGTCAATCATGGACAAAGTAAGTAAGATTCGCTAGTGCATTCCACCTTTAATTTCACCAAAGGCTTTATTTACAATATTCCCATAATAATTATCATGCCATTATCAAAGAGAAAATCACTTCAATCAATACATTAAATTTTATGCGAATGTAAGCAATATTTGAGATTTTCAATCGACACTTAAATACCTTTTCACCTACACCTTCCTCCTAGTACTTTTACAACTAGTGCATCATAATCCTGCTTAGACTACTTTTTCTCCTTACTTCAATATATATATATATATATATGTAGAACGGCCTATTCAGCGGATGCCGTCTTTCTATTTGAAAATAAAAATAATCTTAAACGATAATAATATCGTTCATGCACGTTATTCTACTTAGTTTGTTTTTTTTTTTTTTTTTAAATCTTTTTTTGCCTGTTTTGTTTTTTTGTTTTGTTTTTATGTTAAGTAGAAGAAGCGAATCGTCGATGCGTGCTCGTGTTGTACGCTCTATACTTTCTTTGTCTAATACTGTGCAGAAGCTGCGAACA